TGGGGCCTTCCGAAGGTCCCATGGAGCTGGGGTTGTTCTGAGGGTCTAAGCGTTGGCAACCAAGTCCTGCTGTGCCGCCCATTTCACTAGGCTGGCTGCTCTGAGTTTGCAAAGTGATCGATTTGATTACTTGTCAAAGGGCAGATTTACACCTAGGAAAGGCTGCATAATACATGAGACAGAGGAGGAAGAGTTCCATCTCAGCAGAGATCTGTCTGCCTCTGAAGCAGGATTTTCAGCCTCAATGATCTCTGGTGTCCTGAAAGGCCTGGGAGCCCCCTCTGACGGAGCAGGTTGGCTCTGATTTTGTGTTAATTGTCACTTTAATTGCATTAATTTGACACTGTGGTTCCACGATGTACGCTGCTGCTTAATTTGGGTAAAGTTAGCTTGTAGAGTAAGGTATGTGCAGTGTTTGCCTGCAGTGTTTTGGTCTTGTTTGTTTACTGGAGAGGCTGAACGGAGCGCTTAAAGGTTGGCTCCTGCTCGTACGGCATCCCGAGGCACCCAGCCTGTTCCCCGTGGGTGCTTCGCGAGGTCAGGGCCCCATCTCTTGTTTCGTGGAGCCGTCACTCTGCCACTCCATGCAGAAAACGTGACTGTTGTCCTGTGCGAAGTCCATTGTACAACGGTATGTGTTGAAAGAGCATCTGCAGTGTTCTGGTCGTCACACCCTTCTCCCTTGTCACGTTTCGGGAGCCCTGAGTCACACTGAAGTGGCCAGCCTAAAACAGGAAAACATCTCTGATTAGCATGGTCTTGTTGTCGCTGAGCTGATATAAATCGCATCTGTTAAGATAATGTGAAGAGTGGGGAGTGGTGTCTGCAGGGAAGGTGGAAGCCAGTCAGGCCAAAAAATGCAGCCTCATTGCAGCCGTGAGAAGTAGCAGCGAGAAAGAGAAGCTAAAACTGCCGTGGACTCAGCTGTTGAAAAGTTGTCATAGTTTTTAAACTCAAAATCTTAAGCCAATGAAGCTGTTGTAATTCTTTTGCTAATTTAACAGATCTAAGATTTCTCTTTTAAGTGAGTGTGTAACTTCAAAAAATTACATGATAAATTTTGTTTACTTACTTTTATGATCTGCCATCGCTTCTGCCCCCTCCTTTTAAGATCTTACTTGTTAAGGACTATAAACAGCACTTAACTGATGCTATCCTGGTTCCAACTGGTTTCAGGCCGCCCTTTTGAAACAGTTTTTGTTGCTGCAGTTTTTGATAAGCTTTTGCAGGGTGCAGTCTGGCAGCACGGCTAAACTGATGGAGCGATGGGCTGCTGTTGAAAGGGACGGTGCTGTACAGTCTTAGCAGCTCCCTTGGGCTGACAGCGGCATTTGACCGACCGTGCATCGAGCTATTCAGAAACCTAAACCAGTAGAAAAACAACGTTTTTCCTGCCAGTTAAGTCTCTGGGCTGGCTCGGTAGGAGGTCAGCTGAAACGCAGCGCAAGTAAGAGGCTAGAGGAAAGGGGGACAAGTGGCTCATCTGTATGGTTAAACCATTTTCTTAGACTTCATTTCTCTTGTATTTTAAGTCCATAAACCAGCACTGAAGCTGAAACAGTACCCCGTGTTCTTACCACTGCTGTTTTTCCCACAACTGCAGCACCCCATCCTCCATTGTGCCAGTCAAGAACTAGCGTAGCCGCATGCTGAACTGCACTGGAGAATTTGCCTGGCGTAATTTTGTTTTGATGGATTAGTTTTCACCAGGTTTCTTTTGTGTCGCTGCACAAATGCTCGCACCAGAGCAGGAGGGTGATAAAAGGGAAGGAGCGAGTGGCGCAGGGTGCCGGGGAGGGTGACTGCTTATTTGACTGAATCTGCATTGCCAGCTTCAGCTGTCTTAACGTGTGCCTGGAATTACGGTATTAGGCAATGATTATATCTGTACCCATTATTTCACTGGTCTGTGAACATTTTAAAAATATTTTGTGGGTTAATGAATTTGTCCCCGTGACGTTTGGGAAAAATCCTTTCTTTTTTTCCTCCCTGTAGGATTTCTTTGCCATGTGCAGTGTGTAGGCTGCAACAGCCAGTGGGGTTGAGATTCAGGTGGCTGATTGATCCCGCGCTTGCTCCGTTTGTCCCAAAGACAGAGCAGTGGGGAGGCTCTATTGTAAATGTTTGCTGGGGCCAGGGGCAAGACCTGATTAAATAACTATCTAAATTTTATGACTGACTGGGAGAAACCGGATGGGGAAGAAGAGGTAGGGGAAGAAGATAACAACTGTGAGCTCAGTGAGAAAATGTTGGGACCCACTGGTGCAGAGGGAGGTCTTGGAATGGGCACATGCTACAGAGACCGAAGGAAACACCGGTAGCTAGAAACCTCTGAAAATTTTGCCTCACGTCCACATTCATTTTGACTTTCATCAGTCTTCAAAAAGGCTTTGCTAACACTGAGGGGGATGGAAAATGTTAATTATTGCAGTGGTTACCTTTCTTCTCAGTGGGACTGAGCTGTGCAGGTTTGCAGGCAGCGTGCAGATGTGTTGCCACTATACGGAGGTCACTTGTGTCATGGTCAACAGCATGGATCAAGGGCGGGCAGGTAACCTTTACTGGCCCACTTACCGTAATGGCACCGTCCCCAGCATCCTTGTGTCTTCCCTTTCCTTTAATCTTCGGTCACACTCTTCTGTCCTCACTGTAATTCGTTCCTTATAGAGAGAATTAATAAAGAAGAGCAGTTTCCTAAATCGGGTATTTAAAATGTTCTGAATCTACATTAAACAAGTTATAAAAAATATGCTTGTGTCTCCTTTCCTTCCTTGTTCTTACAGATGGAATTAGCTTCTCCCTGCAGAATATACATCCACCATTTCAGAGATTTCAGTAGTTTATATTGTTGCGAGTTGCTGCTGGAGTGTCTCATTCATTACGATTTTGCATCATGACCTTTCTGCTTTATAGCCCTGGAAGCTGTCATGCCTGCTTCGGATTTGCAGTGTTATTTATACATTAGCAGTCTTCCTAGCATCCGTGGAGCCTCTGCAAGTACTGGAGAGTTTGTACGTCAGACAATTTGCACGGTTGTCCAAAGAAGACTTTTTGGATCAGAATTTATTCCCTCTGTGGCCTTGAGAGAGGCGCTGAGCTGGGTTTCTCACCAGGTACAGGTGACTTATCTCAATTCCCCTTACCACCTGTAAGTGTCTTCTCTGCAAGCTGTTTCGGCATGAATTTCAACTCCCAAGCCATAGATGTTTATGCCAAGACACGATGCGTCATGCCAGCCAGTCCCCAGCCCTCTGTTTCCAGCAACTTCTGTGAGTGCTGGGTGGGACTTGGTGGTTTGCTGCTGCTTAGAGGTCAGTGGGAGGAGATTGTCCTCTCTCAGCTAGCGTGCTATTGCCATACGTATGGATATATGTTTCCACCTGAACGTGTAAAAAGGTTGCCCACCATTCAACCATTTTCAGATGCTCTTCTTACTTTCTTCCCTCTGTCCCGTGGGCATTCCAGCCAAACCCGTTTCCTTTCTGCAAATGCACTGTAAATGTGCAGATTTGACCGTGTCAAACTGACCGGTGGTTTTAATTATAAGCATATTTTGCATAGAAAAATCAAACACTCAGAAAAATCTGAGTTCAATCCACAGTCAGTTAGCTTTCCCATCTACTTGTCTTGCTTCACTGGAATTGAAGAGACTAAAATTAGCAAAATTTGTGGCCAAATCCTTCGATCAGTTGTCTGCCACCTGTTTAGTATTGTAGGCTCTATCTAAATCTGATTGTATGCATTCATATCCTACCTACTCCATCATGTTTAGTTTGATACTCGCCATTAACATTACCCAAATTTAAACTAAATGTTGCTAAAAATATATTTTTCTTTCTTCTACTGCTATTAGAATAGTGAACGTTAGTTCCTAAAATTCAGTCTCTTGGTATCTGTGCTAGATTTTAGTCCAAACTGGATGGAGAACTTAATGAACTCAGCCAAACACCTCCTACAATTGCTTTGTGGTGTTCAGCAATCAAATAGCCTGAGTAGTCTACCCGGTCTAGAGACCTGGTAGATTAAAATTACTCTCTTCAGCCCCTGTCTACAGAGCCAGACGTGTTTTCCTACTGGAATGAGGATGTCTGTCTTAACTGCCACTGCCCCAGTACCATCAGCCTGCTTCTTCCCTTCAGGGCTGTCACATTTCTTACTCGGTTGACTGAGACTTGGGTTTTGTAAGTCCTTGTGGACCCTTTGGTAACATTTTCTATTATCATTGGCCTTCATATGAAGGGATTGAGATTTGTGATTTGCTTCTTTTCCTCAGCACAGCAGCCACTGTTCTACCTACCTTTTTCCGTTTGCTCTGAACTGCATTTGTCATAACTTTATCGTACCATCACTACAATAGTGCTTCTCAGCGTATTTTTATCTAACAACCTGCTGAAAGAAAATCAACAAACTACTTTGTGCAGTCTTACTGTCATGCTTCTCCTTTGCACCCGAATTCTATACTACAGTGTATGGCTATACTTCTCCAGCTTATTGATAGGGCTTGTTGCTCCCATTTTGTTTGCATGCATGGAAATGGGTGAATTTATTCTGGGTTGGTTTGTGTATTATGAAGCTGCTGACATTTCACAAACTGCTTCTGGTGTTTAATGGAGTATTGGTTGAAAACAGCTACCAGAGACTGCTTTCCAGAGAAAGCAACTTCCATTCTATATCAACAGTAATTTTCTGTTGGATGAAGACAAGTGAACTCATTTTCAACAGGATAAGTGAGGTTTCAGCCGGTGCGAACGTATGGTTGATTTTCGATGCACTGTTTTACCTGAGTATATGCTTTATATCCTCACCCTCATGGGCAAAGTAAGTAGGAGCTCCCATGTTTCAATTAAGACCTTTTTTCCATAAAATACTTTCAGTGCTGAAATTTTCTAATCTCGTTCTACCTGTGAGTGCTGTTAAGGGTTGTTGTGGGACCATCCAATTAGCTACTTGGCTGTGCAATGTGGCAGCTTTTCTAATGCGGTTGTTTTCACCTCTTACAGGAAACAGCAAACATGCTACGTCTTACGCAGAACAGGCTGAAGGAAGAGGAACAGCACCTGCTTAAGAGTGGAAGTAAGTGAGATTTTCTTCACTGCTTTTATTAGCAGAGAAATTGTTAAGTACTTGCTACTTCATGTATAAGTATCCACTTACAAGCATGAAGCGAAGGGGACGTGGGACAGATGACAGAGTCAACAGACTACATTAGAAAAAGTGGAATGATAATAACTTTAAAAGGACAACGGTGAAATAGGGAACATAACCTCTGTGAAATCCTCCTCTGCCTTGTGAATTTTACCTGCAGCACTGAGGAATGAAAACAGTCACCCGCTAAACACGCTGTGCAATTGCAGTGAGCGGATTTTTAGCCTTCGTTTTGCTATTATCAACGCCTGTATGGGCTTGCTGTGGACACAGCACTTGTCCCAGCATGATGGGACTGCTGGTGAAGGGTTGGTTTGCAAACAGATTTGGTTAGAGGATTCTACTCAGCAAAATGCTTGCATGTAGGTGAGTAGTCTCATTGGTTTGTGGGACCGCTTGGCTGCCCCGTGTGACACATGGTGCTGGTGTGCCTCGCAAAACCAGACTGTAATTTCTGTCCTCAGCAGTTAGCCTGCCTCGTTGCGTGGCACAGAGTTTGGTTATGTGTTCGGACTAATTCTTTGTGATGTATCTATCAGATCATAGCTTTCCCAGGTGAAAAACTCTCAGCTTGACATCCTCTTTAAGATCGCTGATCTTCAAAGTGGCATCCACGTTTGCCTGCTTGCATTTGCTTGGTTTTAGTGTACCTGCAAAATGTGAATGCAATTAAAAATTGGGATTTTTTTATTTTTTTCTGAACTTACTCTTAATTAATTAGGATTCTAGCTGAGGATCAGAAGGGAATAATAACCCCTTGAGATTTTGTAGAAAGCTAACAAACCAGATTTTGCTCCTTTTGAGCCAAGCGTCAGCAAGAACTTCCTCATTAATTACCCCTGTGAATTTAATATTGCAATATGTGCATTTTTATATGGTAGTGGGAGAAAATAGAAGGGAAGTTAATTCTCAGGATCAGAGGGAGAGTTCATGAAAGCTGAAATTGAGTAAAGACATAGAAGTTGCACTTCACAGTTTGGTTGCTGGCAGAGATTTTCAGAGCAAGCTGATGAAAGGAAAAGCACAGGGTCCTGCACCTGGGTCGGGGCAACCCCCGATATCGATACAGGCTGGGGATGAAGGGATGGAGAGACAGACATCTGAGGAGAACGACGGGGAAGTGTTGCTTGATGAGAAGCTCGCCATGAGCCGGCAATATGTGCTGGCAGCCCAACAAGCCCCCGGCATCCCGGGCGGCATCCCCAGCAGCGTGGCCAGCAGGGGGAGGGGGGATTGTGCCCCTCTGCTGCGCTCTGCTCTGGGGAGACCCCCCTGCAGTGCTGCCTCCAGCTCGGGGGGTCCCAACAGCAGAAGGACACGGAGCTGTTGGAGCGGGGCCAGAGGAGGCCCCGGAGATGCTGGGAGGGCTGGAGCCCCTCTGCTGGGAGGACAGGCTGGGAGAGTTGGGGGGGTTCAGCCTGGGGAAGAGAAGGCGAAAAAGGGGAGAGCTCAGAGCCCCTTCCAGTGCCTAAAGGGGCTCCAGAAGAGCTGGGGGGGGACTCTGCATCAGGGAGGGGAACGATGAGATGAGGGATAATGGCTTCAAACTGAAAGAGGAGAGATTTAGATAAGATATGAGGAAGAAGTTCTTGCCTGTGAGGGTGGTGAGGTGCTGGCCCCGGTTGCCCAGAGAAGCTGTGGCTGCCCCATCCCCGGAAACATTCCAGGTCAGGTTGGATGGGGCTTGGAGCAACCTGATCTAGTTGAAGGTGTCCCTGCCCGTGGCGGGGGGGTTGGACTAGGTGACCTTTAAAGGTCCTTTCCAACCCAAACTATACTGTAGTTCTATGAAATTAACTAATTTCTGCCCATCTTTGGTCTCATCTTCTTATGTCCATGCAGTAAAAAGTGAAGAAGTTTTAGCTGAAACATAAGATTTGTAATATAAATTACAACAACGTGGAATGGTTTCAAGGATTTACTGGGAGTGAAAAAGTCCAGGTCCTGCTATCTGGCCATTTCCAGGGTAAATAAGTTCAAGATGAGACGACTTCTATCGTCAGTAATTAGCAGTGTGAAACATGAAAACCTGCTGACGTGCTTTCGGTGGATTTTCACTTGGAAAACTATTCTGTCATTTTGCATCTCTGAAATAACATGAACCTTGCCTTTTAGTGAGTGATTTAACTGCCACCTAAGAACACACGATTATGACTTTTAATGACCTGAAAATATTAACATAATACATCTTTATTCAAGTACTTAATTGTCATAATTAGTATTTATTCTAGTGATAAGAGCTCCAGGATCCTGGTTTTCAGTGCTGGCCCATTTATTGACTGTCCCATAACCTCGGAAAATCAAGTCATCTTTGTCAGCTCCAGTCTGCTTTTATCTGCGCACAGTGTGGAAGTCTGCAGAGTTGCGGAGGTGTAACTGAGACAATAAATTTGGCTCTCGGAGGCTGTTTCCCCAGTCGCGAGCACGGAGCACGGCTTCATTACTGCATGCTCTAAGGTTAATTTATTGAATGTTGTAAAGCTCTCTGAGACCACGGTTTGCTAACATAATGATCAGGTACCAGGCTGTGCTCTCCCCTTAGACCAGACCCCACTCTCCTCATTATTAGTTAAATTATGCCCTTTATACAATTTAAAACCAAGAGATTTGCTTTGGTAAGAGAACGCAGAGGTTGGTGTCTTAAATGGCATAGTCCCCTATTAGGATTATGTTTACAGAATGGTTTCGTTAATCCGAGCATCCTAGTCATGAGAAAGACAGATACTTTTCACAAGAGGAAACAATGGAACAGCAGCAGAATCGGTGCAGCATCACTGAACAGCTTTGCCTGCCCAAACCGCCCCAAAGGTTAGTTGTGAAATTCACACTAGAAATAGGAAGCACGATAAGGGATGGCGTTTCCGCCCTCGAGGCTTCCCGAGAGCCCTACAACCTTGGTCTGGCAGTCAGTGATTTTATCGAGGAAGTACTGTGAGCATTGCAAGTATTGCGGGGAGATGGTGTGAAGCGCTACAGGCGTGGGCACTTAAACCTTCTTTCACCTGTGTTTGGGGATTCTGTGTGCTGTATCCTCCTTCTAAGATAGGATGCGCCCTGTTAATGAGGTGGACACAGGGAAGATTAAAGAAGGACTTTTCATCATCAGAAGTATCTTTCTAAAGTAGGTTTTAAGGGGAGAAAATACATGCTTATTGCACTTGCATTTTTAAGTAACGCCCCTCACACAAAGCAAAGTGCTTTTGTCATCAGTTGTCTTCCATGTTCTGTTTGTGAAAGAATTTAGGGGTTTGCTGTCTGGACCTTCAAACCAGCAAATCCGTTGTGCCTGCTCGCGGGACTGTTCAAGCAGACCCAGCTCTGACTTGGTCTTGGCCATGCAGTGGGTTCTGGAGGTGACGGGATTAGCTTCTTCCCTTGCAGCTCCGCTCAGTGGAAGGTGGGCAGGCTGCCCTCATGTCTCCCTAAGACTCTCCGGCTGAATCTTCAAGGTCTGGGTTGGAGAGGTGAGCTTTGTTTGAACAGATTCATCGCTTTCCTACGCAAAGGGGTAGCATGGGGCCAGTGCCTCCTGCAAGGGAAAGGGAAGGTTCTCTAACTCTCATTACACTTTGCCCTTGAGAGCTGCGAAACACTTAATGAGGCTCTTCTAACAGCACAGGCTGGAATCGTGATAAATTTGTTACCATTCACTGATAAAAGTCAGCATCCATTCTGCCCCTGTAAGCACTCTTACCTTTGCGTACCTTCGTAATTGATGCAGTTCTCTTATTGTCTGGTTCCTTTGACCTTATCTCCTGCTAATTTGGGAAGCAGGCTTGCAAATTAACAGTTCGGTTCTCTGCAGCTGAAGTTGCAGGGATTCTGGACAGCCCTCTGTTGAGTTTCAGGCTGAACTAACACCAGAGAAACCTGAATCATATTTCTTGTAAAGAAAACCTGTGAAATGTATGTTGAATCGTGCAGGTCTGTGTTAAGAATATAGAAACCCATGGATATGTCATGGTACTCACATAAAATCTGTAAAAATGTTTAATGTATCTCAGAAACAGCCTGGTTCTTTTTATCTTCTGCTAGTATACATTGCAAATCATCTTTTTTTTTTTTTTTTCTCTGACAGAGCATCCCCGTAAAACCACTGCACTAAAAAAAAAAAAGCAGAGCTAACACTAAGTTATGTGAAAACCCGTTCTTAAATTATGTAAAGATGTTGAACTCCAGCTACAGCTCAGGCTTAGAGTATTATTTACGTGATGAAAATATGTGCAATTAAGTATTCGCAGCAGGACAGAAATGGTTTTTTGTGATGAGCAGTAACTAAATTGCTTTTATTTTTGTAACCTTTATTTCACATAAGATGCTCTTAGAGAAACCACTATATGATGTGGTGTTTTTCACACAGCGGGCTGCCCCTGTGGCACATCCAAGGTTGGTGCGAAGTAACAAATGCCAATTGACTGAAACTCGGGGCTTGGTTTCCTTGTGGTTAATGGAACGGTGACTCTTAAAACATTATATTAGGCACTGCTCGGCTGAGCACTGCGGAGATTGTTGATAGAACTATTGTCAGGTGTAGATACGTGAAGAGTTGCTCTGATAATGGTTTGGTGTGAGAGGAGAGGGCCAGGAAGGTCACTGACCACGGCAGGAATTCAAGATGTTTTTTACAGGTTCATTTAAGGTTGAAAAAACATGTTTGCTGAGCAAAAAAAGTAACAACTGAAAATGTTTCTAGACTGAAATACATTTTTTTTCAGACAAATCAGCTTATTTCACTTACAGATCTTTTTCTCACTTTGTTATGCACTTTTTCACGTGCATTTTCTTGCATTTTTAAATTTTTTTTGTCAATTTAAAAGCAGACTTTATAAACTAAAGTTTAAAAAAGTAAAAATTTTGTTTTGAAAATATATTAAAAAAAATAAAAATTGAATCTTTCAAAATATTTCCTGTATTTCTTTTGGGTAACG